TTTGGGGTCAACAACCGGAGGTTCTTGGTTTTGGGGTCAACAACCGGAGGTTCTTGGTTTTGGGGTCAACAACTGGAGGTTCTTGTTTTGGGGTCAACAACCGGAGGTTCTTGGAGTTGGGGTCAACAACCGGAGGTTCTTGGAGTTGGGGGTCAACAACTGGAGGTTCTTGGTTTTGGGGTCAACAACCGGAGGTTCTTGGAGTAGGGGGTCAACAACCGGAGGTTCTTGGTTTTGGGGTCAACAACCAGTGGTTCTTGGTTTTGGGGTCAACAACTGGAGGTTCTTGGTTTTGGGGTCAACAACTAGTGGTTCTTGGTTTTGGGGTCAACAACTGGAGGTTCTTGGTTTTGGGGTCAACAACCAGGGGTTTTTGGAGTTGGGGTCAACAACTGGAGGTTCTTGGTTTTGGGGTCAACAACCAGGGGTTTTTGGAGTTGGGGTCAACAACTGGAGTTTCTTGGTTTTGGGGTCAACAACTGGAGTTTCTTGGTTTTGGGGTCAACAACCGGAGGTTCTTGGTTTTGGGGTCAACAACCGGAGGTTCTTGGAGTTGGGGTCAACAACCGGAGGTTCTCGGGGTTCCTGGCTGGTTTGTAAATTGTAAAAACAGTTCTGCTACAGTTTCAGTCTTCTAACTTTAGCTCAGGTTCCAGCTGAGTGGATCCTTTCAAACACAAATCATAGTGGACCCCACCAGAACCAGAACCCAGATGTGTGTTTGACAGAGCAGACCACACAGGACAGAGGTTAAATTTTTAAATCTTTATTATAAACTTTATCAAACATTTGAGCCCTCGGTCTGATGGAAATGTTTCTTTTTTAAACAAAATCTAGTCCAGACTGGTTGTGTTGTAACATTTATTAAGAACCCATCTGTCAGCCAGGAACAGAAACATGTCCAGTGGGCTGACCTTCAGGACACAGCAGAGGAAGAGGAGGGTACAGCTGTCAGTAAAATGTTCTCCAGGGTCACCTGAGGGTCGATGTAACGGATCAGCTGGCTGCTGAAGCCTTTGGTCTTCAGGAAGTCACGTCTGCCCTCGTCAATCAACAGCTTACAGAGACGTCCCACCTGCTGCCGCTCACCTGCTGAGGACCACCTGGACACAGGGGGACAGACAGGTACTGCCTCTCAACCCAACATGTTTTTCTGTCCTGTGTCGGGCTCCCCAAAGAGGACAGAAACATTTCCACTTGTCTTTGACTCTGGTTTTAAAGAAAGGAAAAAATCCTTTCTTAAAAGATTTATTTTCTTTTCTTTAATAAACAAAATAATAATGTTCTTCATGTTTTTGATTTATTTCTGACCCGTCACATGGAAACAAGGATTCAGTCTAAAAGATGTATCAGGAGAAAAAGGCAAATTTAGTGTTTTGACTAAAATGTTAACAAAAATT